TTTGCAAAACATTCCAATTTTTACATTTTGTATTTATTTCAAATAAATGTTTAAGTATATGGGCATAAAATTCAAAAAAATATTTTTCGAATCATAAGAAAAATTCATTTTGCACGGTTTCGTTTATTAAAAATTCCTTTTTTGTCTATAAAAAAAAATCGAAATGTGCGCAACAATATTCTTTTAACCAAAACTAAAAAAAAATTATGCCTACATGAAAGTATTTATATATATGTGCATATATATATATATATATATGTATATATACAAACATGTGTGGATTACAATATATTTATAAAAGTAAAATAAGGAATCAAAGAAATCCTACTACTTATTATTGCTTTATCCTTTTAATACAGAATTGTTTTTTTTCTTCCTTTTTTGCTACTTTGTGTTGTTCGTTCGTTAAGGAAAGGAATTCAATATTTCGCGCATGAATTCTTTAAGCTTAATTTGATTTTGTTTTACACACTATTACGGGTTTTAGTTTTTATGATGAATAAATTTGAAAAAAAAAATTCTTTTGTTAAAAATACAAAATTATTTTTTTAATATTTCAATAAAGAAAAATATAAATTGATAAATAGAAAATATTTTGTTCAAGAACATGGGAAAAAATTATCATGCAAATAAAAATATAGAAAGTATGAAAAACTAGCTGGTGTTACTTTAAGATTGTTTAATTTAATTATGTTTAATTAAACTAATAATCATAATGCATAATAATAAAACTGTGTAAATAACTTTAATTTTATATGGCTATCTCTAAAAATAGTATTTCTTAAATAGTTTTAAATTTTAATTTATAGTTGTAACAATAAAACGTATTTAACAAAAGAAGAATGTCTTTTTTTAAATTTATTGGTGAAACTAACTAAGCCATACCAGCTCATACTAACTTTTATTAACTTATTCAAATTTTTGCAAGATTTCTTATAGTTTATAGGCTTCATAAAATTTATATTGAAACCATATTAGTTTCACTGTAAATAATTAACAACTCATATGGTCATTGCAATAAAATTTGCAAAGTAGAACAAAAACTGAGTGATACGTGCTATTATTTTCAGAAAATAATAGTATTAAAATATAAAAGTATTCCAAGGCCTTTAATAAGTAAAAAGTAAATTTCTTCTAAGTTCGACCATGTCTAGATCAATTGACTTTATAGACTCTAGATAAACTGCTAGCGTACAACTGATTAAATGAAAAGGTAATAATAATTTCCAAGATTAGGTATTACAAATTAATTTCTCCCTGTAATCAATACACAATTATCATCAATACGATTCAATAGTAATAAATTTGTAATTATATTCACATCTCGTGTAATTTGTTGTAATTTACAAATTCAATTTATTTCTTGCGAATAATCTACTTATATAGTTTGTTCTAAAAATAATTAAATAATCAATATTATGGATATAATTATTAAAAAAGAAATTATGCTAATTCAATAAATGAATTAAAATTTAACTTACCATTTAAAGAAAAATTATTTATTTTGCCAAAAAGGGTTGATTATTTTCTTTAAAATTCATCATATAACGATGTATATGTTAAATATATTAAATTTTTAATTTATTCTTTTATTTTTTTAATAAATTGGATTAAAATTTTAAAGTAAAAAATAATATATTTATTTTATGAGAAAACTTGAACAAATTTAATGTTAGTTTGAAATTAAAAAAAGTAATTGGAAACAACTTTTTTCTTCCTACTTTAGTTTTCTTTTTTGTTTAAGTTAGAAACAAAAATAAATGGAATAAAAAACAAAACGGAGAACAAATTTAATATTTTTTTAATTAACAAGTTATTATTTTTAACAAAAAAAATATTAGCAAGTAATTGAAATTACTTTTTCCAAAAAAAGTTGCTTTATTCGTTTTTTGTTCTTTAAATTTTTTATAAATCACTTTTATATACGGCGTCCGTATAATTTTATTATTTTCTTTGTTTTACTTAAACATTACTTAAATTTTTATTATTTTTTTATACTATTCTTTTAAAATATTCCTATGTCGAGTGTAAAACTAAAAAGAATTTGCACTCAAGAATAAAGTTTTTTCTTGAAGTAATAATTTTTTAAATCTACGTCCGGAGACATTTTCTTTTTGTTGTTTTTTTTCTTATTCTCCTTGATTATTCCAAAAATATTAGCTGAAATTAAAGAAAAAAAAATGTTTATAAATTAATAAGTATAAATAAGTAAGTAATATAAGTTTCTAAATGAAAGTAGGTATAGTATCCTAACGAAATTATTAATAATTAAAGCAGTTAAAGGATGTTTAGTTAATTACAAATTATTTTGATATAAGTTTGATAACTGAAGATAGTATATGACACGTATAGTAAAGAGGTAGATACCTAATTAATAACAATTCTTATTACTATTTTGAAATTACTTTAAAACTTATTTTATATTAAAATGATCATGAATTTATTGAAGGTCAATATGTAAAATTAAAACAATTAAATTGAATGGGTAAAATTGTATAATGCTTCTAATAGGTATCTATACTTTAATTAAAATCTATTACTAATTAAACTACATACATAACCTACTAGTTAATTCAACCTATATACTTATTTCAATATAGACCAATCTGATAATAACATAATTAAGTTTGTTATTATTATAACAGGAATGACCATATATACACATACATGAATTTATGTACAATGTATAGAAAAACAATAATTATTACCTTTAAATTTAATTGCGGTTATCAATTTTAGCACCTATACCTTAAACTAATTAATTTCTAAATTTTTAAATGCAAGCTTTAACATACCTAGTAATTTTTTATTAAAAAGCAGAAAAATAGTGCATAAGTCATAGAAATGAATCTTAAAAACAATTAAAAACAAAATATAACAATTTCTAATAATCAAAAAATAAACACCTGTAAATATTTTATCTTTATTTTATCTAAACACACTTATGTATATATACAATTTATTTTTAATTTATGATATTAAATACCGACTTAATTTTTAATATTGCTTTAGAGAACGAAAAAATCTCAAATTATTCTTATATTTTTAGTATGAAAAAAAAAACTCTACCTGAACAAATAGGCGTATTGAGATTAAAAGATGCCGATTACTACTTCAAAGGCTTTTTTTTTCATATATGTAGGTACTTACCATCCCAAATCATTTGAACATATCTACATATATACATACATTTAGTCATATTTTATAGATATAATTATGCACATATTTACATATATATAAAAAAATTTCTTTGAAGTGTATAATTTTTCTTTTTCACAAAAAAAAAAATATTTTAGTAAAAGTACTATTTAAAAATTCATTTTTTTTTTAACATTTTTTTTTTGTAATAAAACTTTTTATACAAAATATATTATCACCAAAATATAGCAAAACTTACCTTGAAATTGTACGCAAAGATATTAAATTTCTTGTCAAAATGAAAGTGGATAAAATTGCAAAGCAAAAAAAAAAAAAAAAATTTTCAACAAATTTTGACTTAATATTTAAAAATATATTAAAATTTTTTAAACTATATTTTTTATTAATAATAAAAAATTTTCGAACTAAATCAAATCATTAATTTTTCAATCTTATTCTTGCAAATTTTTTCATTATGTATTTGCAATCTGCATCACCTTCCATATAATATTAGCCATAGTTTTGTCTGAGTGACTTTTTTTCTTTTTCTGTTTTTTTTTTTTCTCTCTTCCAATATTTTTCGTTTTTAATCAAAATAATTTCGTTTCGATTTTAATCTTTTTTTTCTTCAACTAAAATAAAAATCATAAACACAATCACAAGATTATCTCTTTTTTCTTTAATTATAAATTGGACGTTTTAAGGGATATGCATTAGTTTATATAAAATTTCAAAATTCATTAACTTTTTTAGAAATACTTTTTTAAAATTATTAAAAAAAAAATTGACGCTAATTTTTTTTAACTAAGTAAGGTTATGTTCATTTTGACAATTTATTTGACATTTTAATGTACAATGAATGACAATTCTACGAAAGCGACATCTTAAGGTAATAAAGTAAAACTACTAAAATTGTCAGGGTTAAAAATGTATTGGAGATTTGAAATAAAAATATAAAGAGTCATCTGGATGCAAGTATATGAATTATATTGTAAATTTTCCTTTACAATATTGATTTCTGGTTATGCTACCAAAATAAATGGTTCAATTAGGTATACAGACAAATTTGTTTGAGTTTAAAATTACTGTTGCTTTACAACGTAAATGACAAAAATTAATTTTAGGTTGTAATTCTAATTTCGAATAAGTTAAATAAATTGGAATAAAGAGTTTTAATGGCTGAAAAAAAAGCACAAAAATGACATGGAAATCGAAATACTTTCTTCATTTCTGCCAAACCATTAATTTACTACTTGTATTAAAAACATATAATCCCGTATTAAATTATTATAAAAAATGTAAATATGTGTAATATCGTACCATTAATCGTTCGTGTGTCAACTTTGTCACAATATAAAGCTTTATTATAATATAAGCTTATTATATAAACTATTAAATACTTATTACAAAACCAAACGCCAATTAAGTCACAAACAATAGATTAAGCGAAGAAAATGGTATATCTTTATTGTCGTATTATATACGGTTTCATTTATGTCACGTACCATATTATTATGTACTTATAATGAAGATTAACCATCATTGTTAATAACGATGAAATGATTATACTAAACTTATCTAAAATTGTTATAATATTTATTTTTATTTAATTGTATTTGTAATGTCCTGTATGGATATAATCCAAATGGATATTTATAAAATATTTATGAATAATTGCTTAATTGATTATCGTTTTTTTTCTCTATCGTAGTCTGATTTCCGTATTCGTTTGAATAATAGAAGCGATTCAGATCAGAGTCATTAATTAACAAATCAGCACCATATCGTAAATTTCTTAAATTGCTACCGCATTTGTGTAATTCAAAAAATTGTAGTCATTCTTTGACATTGACAACTACTGTCAAATATTTTTCCAACTAGAAAAGAATCAATAATTTAAAACGCAAGCACAGAGAACACCAGAAAAAAAGGTATTTATTTTCAAATTTATATATAAATTATTAAAATAATTGTAAAATTTTATTAAAATTTATTAACTGTTAAATTATATTATATTATTATTTGTTCTGGTATTGCCTTAGTAATTTTAAATTTTGTCAAATGAAAAATTTAGTGAATATTGATTTATATGAGGAATGATTTGTTTAAGATTCTTTCATAATGGCTGACTATATATTAAAGTGCTGAATTGTGGATAAAAATAGGATGTTTATTTATATTTCATAAGTTATAATTGAAAAAATTAATAATTCAAGTTCAAAGTGGTTTAAATCGAAAAAAAAAATGGATTTAAAAGCGTAAAAGAATGGTTTTTGAATCATCAAAAAAAAATATTTTTTTTTAAAGTACCAACTATGTAATTTAATAAGAGTATTTTTTTTTAAATTACACACACATACAGTCATAAGTATTCTCTTAATTCTTATTGTCGAATAAAATTTTACACAGTGTGCAAGTCAGTAAAATATAAAATTGATGTTTTATAATAATATTATTGTTTTGGATAATTTATATTAACTTTTAAGTAAATTAATAGTAAATCAATGTTTCTTAGGAAAAAATTAATGGCGACAAACAAATCTTTGGTTAAAAATAATGCATTTATTGATCCATTTTGTAAATCATTTGTTTTTAGGTTAAACATTCCGAAAAATCAATAGTTTTTGTGTGGTTCATATTTTGATTTCTTAATTAGATGTAAAGAACATAGTTAACTATGTTAAGGAAAATCAGAGTAACCGTAGGTAAAAATAGTGAGTTGAAGTACTGTATTAATTTTTGAAATCAGTCGAAAAATGAGCTAATGAATGATTTTATCTTTTTAAAATCTTGAATACAGAATAAATTAAAAATATAGTAATTTCTCTAATAAATTTTGCATTTATAAATTTTAGATAAGGAACATGTAGCCTATATAAAATAAGAAACTTATAATTTTCTGTTATTTTAAATACATAATTATAGAACCTATGTGTTTATTTGGACTATACAGAATATTTTCGTAATTTAAATAAGTAATTCGGACAAAATTCGAATATTAAAAATTAGAAATCGCGGAAGTAGAAAAGGGATGTGTGTATACTCTGGAGTTGATTAGTTCCGGTCTATACAATTCTTTGTCCAGAAAATATGTATGAATGTATACTCGTATAAATATGTACAAGTGTTTTTCATAAAAACATTCATATGAATATCCCAAAATCAGATCATTCGGAATATCAAATTTGAAATTTCGAGTATCATCATATTATGTATTATTGTTGTTATTTTTTCCTTAATCGAGTGTCGCAGTAAATACATAGTTCATTTTGCAATACAATATTCATTTATATAGATAAATAATAAACAAGATAATAGAAATACCAACAAAATAATGTTGAATTTTAAGAGAGCGAAAAAATGAAAAGAAGCTGCTTCTCATTTCTCTTTTACTTTGTGCACTTCTTTTTCTTTCTTCTTATTTTTTTCTTGTCTGTCTTTTTTATGTCTTTCTATGCTGGTGAAGTTTTTCCTTTGTTTAGGTTTGGTAATATTTTTTATGCATTTAACTTGAAACATTTTTTGCTGTATGTATTTTCCAAACAAAACCATGCTGATAAAAAGAAAACAAAAGTTTTTTTTCTCGTCTTTTTTTTATTTTTATACTTTTTTCAATTTTTTGTTGTTCTTGTAAAGTGACTCAATTTTTAATGAATATTTTAAAAGAGTTCAGTTTTAGAATTGTCGTGCAGCAGTATAGCTGGGAGATTTTCCCTTAATTGAAAAAAAAGTGTAGAAAAAAAAAATAAATAAAAAATATTGTCGGTTTAATTAAATCTCTCAGTTATAAAGAAAAAAAAATATAAATCGATTTTTCATTGCGTTTTTTTCATTTTATAAACTTATTTAAAAAAATATTAATTAAAAAAAAAAAATTCAAATTTATTACAAAAATATTTTATTTTTTTTCCCTCATAACGGTTCGGAATTGTAAAAATATTTGCCAAAATTTCCCTAATACCTTTAAAATAAAAATTGTGCGCATAAACGTATAAGTAATATAAAATTTTGTTTTATTTAATTTAAATTTTTAATTATACAGTGAGAAATTGGAATTTTAATAAAAAAAAAGTGAAAAGAAAAAATAAATTTCCATTTCTGTTATAAAAGTGTCTAATTTGTTCAATAACATTTTTTGCTGAATTTTTCATTTAATTGCCCTAAAATGCATTTATTAAATGATTGTGCTTAAATTATTGTGCTTAATGAGAAGAAAATCTACTAAGGTATTTATGATTTTCTTAATCCATATAGTATATTAGTAAATAGGAATTTGATGTTTTATGTACATAATGACGTTTAGACATACATTTGTACATTATTATATATATAGTATATAGGTATACACGTATTGTGTTTATATCTTATAGACTACGATACCTATAATCTCAAATTAATATACCAAAATAATATTGAGTTGCCGTAATTAAAGCTTGTAAGAAATTGTTTGATAGCAAGAAGACCATGTTACATTCTACCTTATACAATCTGTATATGTTTGTATATATAGTCAATATATTTAGGTTGACTATTGATGGAATTTTATAGTCCATTACTCCATTTAATTTTAAGTAAATTTTAAGTAAATGCTCTAGTTTCAACATTAACAATATTTTAATTTTTACTTTTATGAGAAAACTTCTAATAATATAAGAAAATTTAAAAATTTTACAAATACAAAATTTAAATTTAAAATTTAAATAATCAATTTTCGTAAAAACATACAAAATGTTATACATATGTACTATAATATTATGTAGGTACAAGAGTTGCCGTAAATATTTTGTTTTTGTCTGATTTAAAGAAATTTCTATGACATGAAATCCATTTAGCAGTAGTTTATTTATGACATATTTTAAATAATATTTTTTTTTTAATTTTCAAAAATTTCACATGATTAGGTTACCTTAGAAAACTGTATTTCAGTAGTAGAGTGTTCTTTATCAGAACATTTTGCAAGAAGTTTTTTAAATTTTTTTAAATGATGAGGGAAGATAAAATAATTTAAAATTAATATACACTTAAAAAAAACATAATATAATTCAGAGTTGGCCTTACACTTTCGAATTTTTTCATAGCAGTCATAGAATCAGAACCAAAAATTTATTTCTATTTTGTTATTCTTTAAACAACAAAAAAAAAAACGAATATTTAAAAATGCTAATTCACTTAAATTAACATAATTTTGATTAATTTAGGAGAATTAATTTTTGAAACAAACTACGTACATATGAAGTTTCGACATATAAAGTTTCTACATATATAAAGTTTCGTATTTTTGCCCCACGTCGTAACTGAGATTGCAAAACGAAGTGTCGCCGTGATAATATAAAACATTAATTTTCTAAAATTCTACTGTCTAAAATATTCGATATAAAATTACCCTTTTTTTTTACTCAGCGGCAACTCTCCTGTATTTATGTATTGTTTAAACAAAAAAGCCCAGTTTGCAAAATATGCAAAATTTTAGCATGCTTTTAAAAAAAACATATTTCTTTAAAGAAAATTTCAATAACAAAACAAATTTTTTAACAGTTTTAAGTACAAAACAAGTTTTTTTTTTTGTAAAATAAATGATACTGCAGCTTAAATAAATTATCTTGTATGTACGTATATGCATAGATATATTCCTGTAATAGTGTAAAATAAAAATAAAAATACTTAAATAAGTATACATCCATGCATATTTGTGTAAGAAACACAGAGGGAAATAAATATTACAAGAGGGGGAGAGTAAGGATTTTATTTAGATTTTTGTTGTTGTTAAATTCTAATGAAAATGAAAATTTTATTTTTCCAAAAAATCCTTTATATTTATGTTTTATACAAAAAGCTTGGGGAAAATATATACATTTTAGAATAACAATTTTTTTTACATATTTTTGTATTTACATGGGCGGAAGTTTTAATTTTGAAAATAAAATGGAAAAAATGCAAAAGAAAATTAAAATTTGTTAATGTGTCGTATATATAGCTATACATACATATAATCTTATATACTTAATGCATTAAGTGTAATATATTAAAAGTGTACACTTTAGTATATCTTCATTAAGTTCAAATTTTAATACACCTACTTCACACTTTCGGACAAGAAAGATAATGCTACCACCTCCCAGTTTTTTTTTTTTTAAATTTTGTTATACAAATAAGGTTTTTGTAATAAGTTGTTATATCTGTTGTTTTATACATTATATTAGAACTAATTGATGTGAGCTAACTAAATGTTTTATACAGTTTTTGATTTAATCACGCGGTTGAAGTTTTATAATGACAAAAAAGAATTATTTCCTGTAACAACGATTCCTAAAAAAATAATAAACTAATAATAATGGTTTTGCATTATAAAAATTTACGTACAAGAGTAAGTTAAGGAAAAAAAAATTTTCTTGAAATGGTGTCAATAATCTAACGCTTTCTAAGCGGACACTCTATCGATTGAGCTATAGAAGAGCTAGATGTATGAAAAACTTATTAGCGGTTTGTGTTTTTTCTGTACGTTGATCTATGATTCCCAAATTCTTCAGGGGTATTTCGTAGTCTTATATAAACTTAAAAGAAACGCAAACAATAACACATTTTTTATTGTTGCGTATACATTTTATTGTAGACATTCTATATAAAACGTTCTATACATTATTTTTATTTATGTACATATGTACATATGACATTTTTATGTTCTTGTTTTTAATAATACAAAGCTCATAAAAAAAAACTTTAAATAATCCCTTTTCCAGTTAGTTTTCTTAGATATATGCGTATAGGTTTTTGGCTCGAAATTATTGTTTTATACTGTTACGTATGCATGTTTTTATTACAATGTTTTTTTATGTACATACATATTTATGTAGATACATATAATAAGTATAAAAAATTTTACATTACATATTAATGAGAGTAGTGTACAAACGTACGTACAATATTAACAAAA